CATCAAAGGTTAGCTAATAAATACCAAAATACAGTATATAGAACAAGGTGAGAGAAGGCAGGCTTCTCAGCCTCTTGTCATGCAGTGATGGAGCGGGGAAATGATGTTGTTAACAGTGTTGCATCTGAGCTGTGGTTTTACATCAAGCACTAAGGGCTGTTACACAAATGCAATTGTTTTGTATGCTTTGAAAATTAATTAATTAAGTCCTCATACAGTACATTTCAGGCTCGGAAAACAGAACTTTAACACAGATGGTTCTGAACTGGTGTAAAACACACATTTGCTCAGCTTGTGGACCGGATTCTAGGCTATTTTAGGCTAACAGCAATACCATGTCTATAAGTAAAATATTTTTCTTCATGTCAACAACAGAGGGTCTCTGGAGATGGGGAGCTTTCACCCTTGTAAAACATGTATCTTAAACCACTGCAGAAAAAGTATGCCTATCAAAGGCAGCTAAGAGACTTTATATTGTTCTTCTCTGAAACAAATTGCTTTATCTATGACTGCAGCATAATTAGGGGCACATTCTACTGTTCGTTTCCTGCCAATTTTCATAGTGCCTTCAAGCCTAATCTATTAATGTGAATCACAGTGCCACAATAGCCAGTACGTCTGCATGTCCCAGAGGATGATAACAGCAAGTGAAGGGTCACACAGTCTGGGTTGTTAATAGCAGCTCTACCCAATTATCCTTCCTCAGCAGCAGGTTACAACACTCTTCACTACAGCAGAGCCGCTAACAGTATTTTGCTCCACATACGCTGCTGCCCGACTTAACAAATGTACTTTAAACTCACTCGAGGTCGTGCCCCGCTTCTCTTCCAGGGCTGGCTGCTCTCTTCGGGGACTATCCTATTTTCTTTTGCATGCTGAGTATAACCAGTACGCAACAGCAATTCCTATAAAATTTTAAATACACTGCGGAAAGAGCCTTGCAAAGGGAAAGCGTGTTGTTTCATAAATTACTAAACCTCCAAAAACTGTGACTGCCACGTTCAACGACCCGATTTCTCAGCCTGAAAGAAATATTATTGTGTAAAATCTCAGACAATGGTATTTATCTCACAAATGTAAGGGTTTATTCTTGTTGTATTTCTTACACACAATGCACGGTCCAGGATCCAGGATAAGAGGTCATTGTACCATGCATCAAGAGAGGACAGGAAGGGAGGGAAGGAGGTAATGGGGAAGGTGTGGGGGGAGGGGTCTTCACAGCTGTGAGTTAGCTGTCCTAAGCCTGGTAAGAAGGAAAATGTTCTTCTAGTGACCTCTGCTGGGACTACAGGAGAGGTGCACCAAGCTGCAACAGGAGTACAATGCACAAATATTACACCAGCCTCACAAGGGCTTTTGACTCTTTTATGTTCTGCAGCAGCATGTCCACTTGATTTATTAGCCAAACATGCAATTAACACACAGATACCAAAATCTTAAAATCCTTTCTACACTATTTACATTTTCAAGTTTCATGCAAGTTACTCCATCTGGAGGACTTATTCCCTTGTTCTCCATCTGGAGGCTTGTTCCCTTTCAGCCGCCTTCGGCTAGTGGTCTTCAGCTATCATCCTTGTTCCGTCTGCCATGACTTTGGGACCTTCAGTCTTAAAACATTGCTGAAGGAACCATCTAGCATAACATCAGATGTCAAATACAAAACATCTAGATCAACCTCAGTAACTACAGAGTGATTTTTGGCAAAAATATTCTGGAATGGGTCGTGGTCAGTTAAGTTACAAATAAACCTAACGATAATTGTATTTGCATTTTATGATACATTACAATTGGCATTTAGTGCAAACCACAGTATAGAAAAAGCTGTATGTGGGTTGTGAATGATCAAATAACGGCTTAAGATTCCCATTCTTTAGCTACTCTTGTGCCGCTAAATCTAGTGCTGCTCTGGACTTTATTGATCAAAACATTCTCTTTGTATGCCTCAGATATTTGATTGGCATTAGTGCCACTCTACTCTGCTCACCTGACTTATTGGTACAACCGAAGACTGGCTGTATCACTTGGTCATTGTACTTCTGCCATGACAAGCTGTCTGTATTCATGTGCCTCAAGGGTCCATACTGTGTCCTGCCTTGTTTAACATCTGTTAATATGTATACTCAATATCAGATTCTCAAATGGCAGTTCACTACAAAGGTTTTTGCTTCTAGCATACAAAGCATAAGTGTATCATTATTTTCTTTAGAGAGTGACAATAGTGAAAGTGGTTTTTAAACATGAGAAACAGATGGAGAAGATCCTAGGATCATTTAGCTATTATTAAAAGCAGACATGCTTAGCCTGAATAAACTTTCATTTGTAATTTCCCTTATGTTCTTAAAACCCTTTTTCTCTCCTGTATTATTTCTTGAATCAAATTCTTCTTCTATAATTTTGCTGAGAATTCTCTCAATGTCTTTGTATTTCTAGGATTAAATATTGTAATACTGGCAAATTTCAAATGCAAAAAAATAGACACCATCTTGCACAAAACAGTCAGGATGTCATGACACCCCCCATTATAATCACAGCACTAGTTGTATTCTTTTATAAAATATTATCGAATATGTTGTAATGAGTAATGTGTGTTAATATGTAAAATGTAGGGAACTCTGCATTTGTAAATATTTTTTAACTTTTATGCACTTGACTAATTGTTGTGTTTTCTGTGTAATTTTATTTTTGAATTTTTTATTTTTATGTTCTTTTTATGTATTCTTCAGCAGCACTGTGAGATACAAGGTGCTATACTGTATAAGTAAGTTTAATTGTATGTTTTTTAAAAGATTGATTGGCTGGTTGGTTGGTGGGCAGATGTGTTTGTAGAACTGAATTGATGTGGCTCTTGTGGCTATGATAGATTGCAGGACGAAAACAGTCACATGCTCTCAGGGCTGCCTTGTGTCCTAAGCTTCCAGGATAGGCATGCTACAATTCTCAGCAGGATAAGCTGCTTATGGAAAATGGGTGGATGGTTCCTGTGATTTCTATGTGGCACTAAGCTGTTAGCCCATGATTGCTGTACACAGAGTATACAGTACTTTATCTTTAAACACATGATACTTAATTCATGCCAGATTTGGGTTAGCAGTTTTATTCCTTATAAAGCAGGTACATTACTACACTTGCACTCAGGGCTGTATGTATTAAAACTGGATCTTTCTTAAGCTTCCTGAAGTCAACATAACACTGATTTCTAAATTCAGGATTGCAATTGTGCAGTTGTGAAGAAAATAGCTTGGGGAGTATGGGATACTCACCAATGACAATTCAGGGAAAACAGGATTATCTGATCATGTTCTTTTGCATTAAATCTTCTGACAACCCCTGTTCTATCTATTAATAGTACACCATTTTTCCGTAAGAGGGAGTAAGAGCCTAAAAAGAAACTATGAGCTACACATCTGCTGCTTGTTTCTCAAATACTGAAGCAAATCAACAGTGAAAATGGCCTACATACTGTATGTAACAATTTAAAATAACAAATCTTTAATAAACTACATAAATGATTTTAAATGCATATGCATGTGAGACATTTTAGATAGTGGTCGAATAAAATATTAAGCTAAGCCAGTCCTCTGCTCTGTACTGTAATCTTTAATTTCACAAGACTATAATAGTTATACCGAGTTGTCTTTTTTCACTCTGAAATAATTGAAAATGTAATGAGAAAACTGTTGAGGCATTCATAAATCCATCTTGCTTCTCCAAGAAAACTACCTAATTCATGCTAAAATATCTTTAGGTATTTTTCCAGCAGATTAGAGAGCAAACATTTATCTTAGTATAGCAGAATATCATTTCCTTACTTAAAAGAAAGTCACACAACCTGTCATGTTTAACAAAGATAAATCTGCTTTGCTTAAATGTAATAAATGTTGTTTTACATTAAGTTTCCAAAACACAAAGAAATAACATTCAAAACAAGCCGAATACCCATTTTAATTATTTTTTTTGTAAAAAGAAAATGGACTGCTTTATAGTCTATTTAGAGAGAACAATGCAGCATTGTGAAAGATCCTTACTATACACAAAATGGAAATCTACACTATCTTTCATAAACCTGAGTTTGTCTTATTATGCACTCTTGTTATTGTCAAGCATGCTGTATGAATAATTAAAGACATTTGTTCACAGTGGACTAAAGCAAAGACCTGCTTTAAAATTACAATGGTAATTCTTTAAGAAACACTACTGACTGTAATACTGTCACGATCCAGAAAAAATATGAAATTAAAGTTGCGATGGCTACTGCTCTCTGTTAAACTATCCAAGGCAAAAACTGTCTCTGAACGGGAGTATTGTTTTAATTCCTTGCATGGAGATTCTTTGTGTAAAGTGAATTAACCCATGCAGCAGCATGGAACTCTCTGGAACTAATACTGTGTTGCTTCATTTAGCCCAGGTTCTGTTAAACACAATTAAACATAAGCAATGCACCAAAAGAAGTATTATTATATTCAGTTTTAATTAGTGTTTTCCATTCTGAATTTTAACATGCAACCCCACTGAATGACAGTTTCTCTTGTAATAACATATACCTCATCTGCATCACTCTGTTTCATTTATCCAGAATACAGGAGGGGCTATTATAGGAAAAGATTCTCAGATCAGTTAAATTCTAATATACTATGTGCCGGTTGGCCTATTCTCATTTGTAGCCTTTCTTATATTCTCAAAGCAGGTGTTTATAAATGTAGAACACAGTTGACATATACAGTAAATAACACATTGTCTTGCAGGAAAAAGGAAAACCTTTCTACCAGGGGTATAATCTCTGCGTCCACGGCGTGCAAACAGCATTGACAGCAGACAAACCGGGGGAAACATGCTGATATCAAAGTCTTGGCAGCATCTATCCCTGACAGGTGTTCTGCAAGTCCAACAGGCCTAGCTGGTTAGGTCAGCTAAGTCGTTCTCCTCTGATGCCTGATGCAGCTCGAGAACACAACGCATGGAAGAGCCCAGGGCATCGAGAAAGGTGGATGTTGGGTACTTACAGGAGTGCTGCCATCCGACAGGGTGTTCATGCTGATGGATGTGCTCATCTTTTCAGAGGAGAGAGAGGGTGGGGAAGGACTGCGCTTCTCCATGCAGCTCGGGTGGAGACTGTCCTGCCGCTGGAGGTACTCACGCCATGCTCGCTGGATGCTGTGCAAAAAAGATACAGCACTTCATTCTCCTCCCATTACACCCAGTCGCGACACGACTGGGGCTTGTCAGGCCAGTTTCATCTTTGACAAACATGACCTGGAGAGACGAGATACAGAAGCTGCGATTGTCAGCTGTCTGAATGTGCTCTTGGCAGAGAAAGGGTAATCAAATGGGAAAGACTAATCTCAAACCAACAAACTGACAGGCGCTGAGTGGCAGAACGCCCTGCTCGGGATCTAATTCGGATTATTACATGGATGGTGCTCAAGTGGCGAGCAGTGCGCGTTGATAAAAAAAAGTGAAAAGCTAAAATAGCAGAGGTTTTGGAGTTAAATAGTCCGCAGCATGCGTAAGCCCTGCCAACGCAAGTAAACAAATTAATATGCAGATCTGCACTGTTATGAACAGTGTTTTAGCCCACAGAAATATTAAAGGGCAGATGGTTGTGTAAATATGAATATACTTTAATTAGCTTTATTATTGTAGATTAAACACTAAGAAATGTATCGATGATAACTCCTTCTGTTACCATACATTACTGAATGGGAAAAAGAAAAAGTTAAATTAAATAAATATGTATTATAAGCAATCAGTACAAATAAAAAATGGTAAAAATACACATTTTCGGTTATTATTTTCTTCAGTTACAAAGAGTTACACATATTTCGCATGCACACTGTTATTTAAAAACATGCCAGTTGGTGGCAGCATAAAAGTAAATAATACAACATCTATATGCTTTGAAAGGCTAAGACTAGCCATTAATACACAGTATATGCAAAGCCCAAATACAGCATTAAATGAAAATGATTACAGAATCTCACTTAGCAAGGTGTTGACTTAGAACTATAAAGTGAAAACATACAGTATCACAATTTACAAAATTAAAACTGATATTACATCAAGATTATTCAAAGGTTCTTTTCTGAGTAATTAATTTCCAATCAAAGAAGATTCATATAAATACATCTCTGAAGTGTTTCACTATGACAACTGTTTCCACAAGGACTGGAAAGCAGTAAATCTAAAGGCATCATACTGTATGTCAAAACATTCCCTGTGGTAACACTTTATTAAAACAGGCTAAAATAATATCTTAGGCTAGGACCTCTCAATGCAATTCCTAGTACCTACTCTGTGCTGCAGGTTTTTGATCAAACCATCACTAATACATTTATTTTAAAATGTAACATTCTTTATATTGTGAATGATATACATATCTCTCATTTCCCGTATTCAGTTATATTTACATGCAATGGAAAGATGTACAGTAAGAATGTTGAAATTATGTTCTGTTCATATTAGAAATAATGACAGTCTACGTAAAGTCTGAAAACCAAAATTTCTGGAGGTTTAAGATCTAAATGAGAAAGGATATTTCAGAAATCCTAAATGCCGAATGGATCGTAAATGAGATAAATCCGTGAAAATTAAGCTTACATTAAAACTTTTGACTCTAGTGGCTGCATTTTAATTTGGCACTTCTCAATGTTGTTTTCTATGTCCATTGTGAGCTGATGACTGTGAAAGAAAAAATAAATAACAGCTTCAGACTGTATCACAGAAAAATTACAACAACCGCCATATTTAGATGCTCACATGGCTGACAGTTCTTCTTATAAAATACAAGCATTTCTTTACATTTTTTTTATATTTTAGACTAAAATTGTTAAATGAAAGACTTACAGGTATGTGCTCACTAACCATGTATCCCCAGAGTTTATGAAGCCAAAAGCAAGAGGAGACACTGAGTCTCTCTAACTGAGGCGGAGAAGTTTAATAATATTTTAGATTTTCACTTGTTGTACATTTACATTTCTTGTTTCAGTTTGATCGACGATAGCTTTTACATGTCAGAATTGTGCACATCAGAACTACTGTATACCCTTTTTACAGTATCCTACAGCATATTAGCATTATTATACTGCATGTGTCAAAACCACTAAGGGCACATAAAATTAGCTGGCCTCTAAAATGTTAGATTAAGATTCATGGCCAACTACAAAGAACAAAAAAGAATAAAAAAGTATTCCACACAAGTCTGAGGTCCACATATGCAGAAGGTGTCTGGGTTCTGAGGCAAAAGTGCAAAAGTGATACTATGCAGTCTGAATGCTACTGTTTTCAGAAAGCAAACCACAAATGGTGCCTAAAATTTACTTTAGTTGCTTTATGCCTTGAAAAAACATCTCTGCGAAGGAAAACTTTAAATAAAGGCAAGAGCTACATTCCTTTGGGTAATAAACTCAGGCAAAATGCAGCAAGGACTAACTAAAGGAACCCCTGTGCATGTTACAGAGACCAAGTAAAGGGATTTAGAACTGAGGAGAATGAATGTCAAAAGTGGCTCTCAGAAGATCCTGCAGCAGAGGAGTAAAGCACAGTTATTTTCTTAAACCTGCAGTCACGAGCATAACCACCAGGTGCAATCAATAAATAAAACATGTGCTACATTAATGTATAAGCTGCAGGGGAAAAGATGTGTACAGTACTGTATATCCTGCACAGATTGAATTACAATCCAAAGAAATAGAACCGTTTGTTCTAAAATAATAAAATACACAGAAGGACAACAGAAAGCAACAATCTTGTTAACTTACCTTTGTAGCTGATATTTCCCATCGTTCTCTTGCTTCAGATTACTCTGTAACCTCTTCAGCTCCTCCTATGAAAATGCATAGCTTGTTAGATGTAAAATGGCACTTTAGTTCATATTCTGTATGCAGGCACACAACCTGGATGTATGCAGTTTAACTAGTGTATTATTAAATATACAACTACTGTATTAGCTATGAAAAAAACATACTTCTTTCTATCCGATTTATAATTAATTATGCTTTCATGTTTCTTCTATGAAAATGGGATACTGGTAACTGAACATTCATCCCGGAACAGAACAGAAGCATGACTAGGAAAAAACTATTAAACATTGTTTAGAACAAATAACATTTGCTTTATACAGTATCTGCTATGGTATCAATTTTCTCTCAAAAAAGCTTTGTTTTCTACAGTTTAATTCAAAGTCAGAATTTGCTTAAAACACAAACAACCTGTGCTGCAAGTATAAAATAGGAGGAAAATATACAGTTAGTAAAATGATTACATTTTCATCCCCAAAATTGAGTTTACTCAAACCAAAAGGGCTGTTTGGGCTTATGACTGGATCTAATCTTCCTCTACCTGAATGTACTGTATAACCTGCAGTGCACCTCAGGTCCCAGTATAACTGTAGGGAAGCACTCTAGTGATCTATCATTGGCATATTTTTCCCTAAAAAGCAGGTTGGGTGGTTAATGTTACTGAAAGTAAAAACGTATTAAAACTTGTCAGTGGTGCCTTTTCTCAAGAGGTCACAGCTTGGAACCTTGAAGAGCAGCAGTGGATACAGTATGTGACATCCAGTTTGATATCAGATTTATAGGTTTACCTTTTGTATTCAGAGAACAATGAGGCAATGAGGTAAACAAAGAAATGGACTTTAATAAGACCTTCAGTCATACAACTGCCTCTGACACTACACCCATATCAGTTTCTTTGACAAGCATATTCACTAGCAAAGCAATTTACGGTAAATAATTTCAATGATACGGTAGATGGATTAGCAAATTTTAGCATATTCCCTTATTTCCCCCCACTTATTTTTATGCATAGGCTTTCTATCTGAATTACTTATAGTGAATGCATACATAATTTAAAAGTGCAATTTAATTAAAAGTGGAATTAAACTAGGGAACCCCTTGTGGGACATGAAGTGTGTTTATGCATCAGTAAGATGTATGTTAAGAACCACCAGCAATTTGGTTTCTTTGATGATTATATCACAGTAAAGAGCTGCTTCATATGTAGAGCTGTGTAGGCCATTTGTCATTGCTACAGAAAGTTGATCCCATTCCAGATAAACTGAGACACATGTATCCCAAGTGGCATGACATACAGTAATTTGACATAAAAATTCCACACTGCCCATGGATCATTTACATTGAGGTGAGGAAAACCAGATATCCCAGGCAACAGCAGCTGAACCTCCTCTTTCAGGTGTTTTAGTATCATTATAATAGTCTTTGCAAGAAACGATAAAACTTGTTTAAAAAAATGGATCGCAGCTGTGATGTCTCAAACTGTCCAGAGCCAGAGAATTAATGAAGGCAGCCTGCTCACTGCAGCTGTGAGAATCTCAACCTTACCTTTTCTAGCTCAGTTCCATAGAGCTTAAAAGCTGAAGATACCTTTCAGATTCACAAATGAGGTCAGGAATCATAATACAAGTGCTGTTTGGGAGTTGACACAAAACACTTTAATGAAGAGACTAGCTTCCTTGTACATTTTAGACTAATTACAAATCAATAATGTTGGTAATACATTATATATAAAATCAATATTTGTGTTTGAAAATACTAGTAAAGCTATTATATATCATAAGACATACAATGATAATTATAGTATTTCCCATATAATTGTAGTTCCCATATTGTAGTTCCCATATTAATTATAGTAATTATAATATACTGTAGTACATTGTGGTATTTTTCTTGTGGATTTTCAGAGGCTGAAAACAAGAACACATGCATACATCTTTTTAATTGAGTTGAATCCTGCTTGCTTTCATAACAAGTGTAGGAGCAAGTTGCCTTTTCAGAAGATTATGAAAGGAGAGAAACAAACAAGAACACCAAACAGAAGCATATTGCCTCTGTTTCTGAGGGCAGAGAAAGCAACACCTACGATAATCAGCAAACTGCAGGCATTAGCATTCTGCTGGTTGAGAAGCAGACTTTTGTGGAAATTAGAACAGGAGGCCAGGTAAAACAAGGACAAGCCTGGCCTGCTGCCTGAAGCTTTCTTATCAATTCTGTGAGTTTGTGACAGGATTTTCACCGCTCCAAACTGGCAGAGCTAACAAAGTGGAATTGGATTAATTGTACGCCTATCTAGCATGAAGCTTTACAGACCAGGTCCCAATTTACTACAAAGTACACAGGCTGAGAGAGGCGAAAAATCTCTCTGGAAGCTCCTGAGAATAAAGTAAAAACCTGAAATGACTTTAAGTCTCATAACTGGAGGTGCTGAATTACTTAACTGTTTTTCACTGACACTGCAATCCCCTTAAGTAGACAAGAACTCCTCAAAGGAGTGGAAAGCACAAGAGAAGAAGCTTTTATCTGCTGTGCTGCATCCCACACAAAGCTGCCTCTCCTACTGTAGGAGGTGAGGAATGGAGAGGGGCTGGAGTGTCCTCAAGGGTCAGCTGACACAAAGGTCAGAGGTTAGACTCCACCAGTCAAGGCAGGATTTGGGTCTTTTACATCTAGTTCCACTGCAGTTAAATTCAGTAATTGGTTCCTTACTAAAGGTTCACTTTGGGTGGGTTCTGAAGGGCATCAGCCTTTTGAGTTACTGTACACCTCAAATTAGAGGGGAGAGGGCAACACACCACAGCATTACTGAGAAAAAAAGTAAAAGGTTTATAGGGACTTAGAAATAAATACACATTAAGCAATGGGTTAAATCTCCAGGGGATTTCAATACATATATTTTAGCTGCAGAATAAGAGAGGCATGATAGTAAATACAAATTGAGACAATGTGATTTTCACTTAATTGTAAACTATGATCATAATACTGTACACTTTTATAGCAAGGCACATTAATGTTACCAAGCAAGGATAATAAAAATAAAAAAAAAAACTGTAGTGAACTAAAATGCAGTTTTGTTTGTCTGTGTGATATTCCCTTGAGCCTGTTAGCTGTACTGTACATACTGTATAGAGCAGCTTTATTCTGTATGAGTATGGTGAGTCAAAGAATATTATGTCTTTAGTAAAAGAGACCTCTTTTTTGCCCATCACATTAAACTTAAACAATATGTTACACAGTGTTTATTGAGTAAAGTTTTTTTAAATAAATAAACACTATTAATCAATATAAAATCAAACAATATTATACCGTATCACATATTTTGTCTCTTGGGTTAATGCAACAAGGTAGTTAATGCATCACACTCTTTGAAAGTTTGATGCTGGTGGTTTAAGTGAAGAAAAATAATTAGATAATAATATTGCCTCCTGGTTCTAAATGAAAATCATGAATATGAATGGCAGAGAAAGCAGACAATTCATTTAAAGATTCCAGCAGCTGCCTGATTTGATTGGTGACTTGCACCACCATCAGAAGGGATTTCCTCTGAAATGGCAAGTATTCTGCTTTGAAATTAAAATTAATCAAGATTTTATTGTTCCCTTTTGATCTTTTAACACCATCACCCACAATGTAATACACTTACCTATTCAGATTAGATTGAAGAATAACTGTTGATAAAGATTTTAATTACTTCTGGGTTTAGTAGGACTGTTTCATTTTGTGATACAAACTTGAAATCATTTGTTTCAGAAACTGCTACTAGAAGTTTTTCTCACTAATCACATACATAAAGCAGACTTAGAATCAGTAACCTTCACATCAGACTTCACTGTGGCAGATTAAGAAGTGGGACCAGCTGCTCCACATGATAGCTTTGATGAACTCACTGCTTTATTGCAAATCAATGTCACGTACACACTTCTATAACATTAAAATATCCTTTCTGCATGGAATAAATCTGTCATAAAGTGCTTTAGCCCAAAATGCATTTCTTTTTTTACCTCTTCCTGAAACCCCATAGTCGAAAGGTTGTGTTTCTTTTCTTCTCTTTTCAGCATGGAATAAACCTTTACTTGTTCCTTTATAGCCTATGCATGCTGACGCAGCTCCCTACTTGAACCAGTTCAAACAGTCTGTGAGTTTGGTAATGGAGACACTCTGTGGTCAGTGAGACAATCATTTCAATTTACAGTTACTGATGGCCTTGTCAATGCTTGCTGAGTCTATTAACTTTCCTTTCAGTCCAAACAAAAGCAAGGTTAGCCACAAGACACTTGTTCATGATTATGCACCCCATAATAGAGGCTCCATTTGGCAAGACAGGAAATCTCTAGGTGAGTGACCACCCATTGCCTGTGGGTACAGAAGATCAAAAATCATTTACTTTATTACAGTTTTAAAGAAACTTGTTAACTGAGCAAGAAATGAGCCTGAAGCTCACCCTATCATTGTGTTTTGCATCATATCCCTCAAGCGATCAAGAATATTGATGCTGAAATAGCTTTGTTCATGCAGGTTTCACAAGGAACTTTGTCTGAATGGAACTAATTAGTCAAATAAGAACTGTGCCTACAGTTTAAATTTCAGAGAGAAAATTGCGAGGGAAAGGCAGAAAAACCCAGCCTACAGAATACTGAAGCAATTGATTTGAATTGACAAATAGTAAAAATGCAGTAGAATCACTTTTTTCTATTGTTTATATGCACTTGCAAGGGTGTCAGTGTACATTGTACATACATTTTTTTTCACTCCAGATAAAGGTAATGTAACTAAAATGCTGTCTGACCTACGGTAACATGTAAAACACTAGGGAAGACTTATTCTGATTAGAATATTTTGAAGATTAATTTATTTCTATTTTGAGCATAGCTCTTAAAACAAGGCTTTATTATTTACTTGGAACTTGTCTAGACAGTCCCAAATTGCTACCCCATGGGATGTATCTTCTAAACAAAGACCAGATTGCATCTAAGTCATGCAAAGCTTTGTTTGTGTTTGATGAAGGGAATCATACCGAGATTTTAAGCAC